ATTTTCTTTCTGCTTTTCATGCAGTGCATGCTGGACCACCACCATTTGTGGAAATCATTTGAAAAAACACACTGACAAATTGTTGCATTGACAAGGAAAAGTGTCTGTTTGTTTTGAGGTATTATCAAGAAAGGAACAGATGAAAACAGAAGTAAATGAGAACAAGCTGCAGACATTCCCAATGAGTTACTGCTGAATATATATCCTGTCACACCAACGCTGTGAAAAAAAACTTCTCTGACCTTGCCTATCATCTATATCAGTAAAAAGCAGAAGTTGGACAAAAAGAGAGAAATGAAAGGCGTGGAAACAACTTTTTTTTATATGATTCTTTTTAGTTTTAACACAGTGCTATTTTTTGGTGCACAAGTTATGAGAAGCTCAACAGAAAGACTTCAGCAATGGCAGAGCAGAAGTTTAACAACACACCAGTCAATCTAAAACCTAAAAAGCAATACCAGTCAGAAGGTAAGCTAAGCTTTTCAAATACGTGCATCAGCAAAAGATATTTTCAAACTCACGCTGTAGATCATGTAGATGAACATCACAATTAATAATTATAGGAGATGTTTTACTGTACAAAGTATATGACTGCTGACACCAACATCTTTGTGTTTTTATCATTTCAAGCAATGTTTTTTCTTTTAATGTTTTTTGTCTGCATTATTAATAAATGTAAATAAAAACTACCTAAACCAAGACAAGTAAGAGGATGAGATACTAAAAGTGCTTCGGTATTTACACTCAGTAGCACAGGAACAGAGCAGGAGGGAAAAGCAAGAGAAAGAAAGAGAGCCAGGGACAACAACATCACATTAGAAAGGTATAGTAATCATCCACAACTATTTTCAGTTGCAGATGATAAAGGATTCAGAAAGATTATTCATGCAGGCCCATATGACAGAGAATATGCATCTTCTTTTTATTTTCATATTTTAATTTATATTTAATTATGTTGTGGTTTGCAGTGTTTTGTGTTGTTTCACTTTAAATTTGTAAAAGGAAAAAGCTGAAAATTTAAATAGTTAAAAATTGAAATGTGAATAGTTGGTTTTTGTATTATATGATTTATTTATTACATTTTATTTGGAGTGAATAAATAAAAGTATATTTACGTTGGCCCCTACAGACAAAGCACGTACAAACTCCTAAACACGTAAAAACTCAGAAGCACATAAAAACTCAAAACACATACAAAAGACAACAGAAGTGCTCCAGGATGCTAAGGACAGTGTTGAGCTTTTGTTACCTCGTGGCTACACAAGCCAGGAAGTACCAACGACCAGATTTGGTGTGTGGTAATAACAGGTAAATGAACATTTGTTTAAATTATTTGAATATATATGAGTGCTTGTGTATAAATACACAAACAATACACACATGCTTTCAATTGTGTAATTTAAGTGATCTAGGTAGCTCTGTTTTGGAAGTTCAGTTAAAGCTAGAAATGTGTTTTGGAGTTTGTATATTTTGTCTCTAGGGCCCATCACATATATTTATATATAAACATATATAAATAAAACCACTTTTTTTTTACATTAGTAGTTCCTTTTGTGCATAATTTTATATTATTGTTAATAGTAGTAGTAGTAGTATAGTAGTATTTATTTATTGTCATTGTCAAGAACAATGAAATTGCGTTTGGGGCTTCCATACAACCCAAAAAAAGAAGAAAATAATAAATACCCCTTAAAACCCAAGTGTACATATTTAACCCAGTGTGACTCCAATGCAATAAGACAATCCTTAGCAATAATGTTCGTAGAAATTCAGACAAAGACCTGAGAAACATGACAAAATACAACAGTGCAACCCATTCAATATTATTGTACTGTGAGATATGATATCAGATATGATAGTTATCTATTTAAGAAAGAGGGGGGGGGGGGGGGGGGCAGGAGGGGGAAGAGAATAAAGATATGATGCACCAATGCAGACCAGTTCATTGCTATTAAGAAGTTGGATATGGTTATTGTCCGTGAGAGGGGGGCAGAGAGTTCAGGAGCCTCACAGCCTGTGGATACAGGCTGTTGGCCAGTCTGGATGTTCTGGCCTGTATAGACCTGTACCTTCTCCCTGAGGGCAGCAGATGGAAAAGGTGGCGCGCAGGGTGATGTTGGTCCCGCAGGATACTGTGCACCCTCCTCAGACAGCGAGTGGGGAAGATATTACTGATCTCTGGCAGACTTGTTCCAATAATTCTGCCAGCTTCTTTCACCACCCGCTGGAGTGCTTGCTGATCGGCCTTGGTGCAGCTGGGGAACCACACTAGAAATCCATACGTCAGAACGCTGCTGATGGCACAGTTGTAGAAGTTCAACATCAGAGATCTGGGAATGTGTGCGCTCCGCAGTCTCCTCAGGTAGTAGAGGCGCTGTTGGGCCTTCCGTGCAACTGAGGTGATATGGTTGCCCCAGGACAGGTCCTCGGTCACAGTTACCCCCAAGAATTTAAAACTGCTCACCCTCTCCACCGCCTCACTGCCAATGAAGAGAGGCAGATGGTTGTTGTGACCCCTCTTCCGGAAATCTACAATGATCTCCTTGGTCTTTTTGGTGTTTAAGACCAAGTTATTGTCGTGGCACCATGACTCTAGTTGTTGCACCTCTGTCCTATAGTTTGTCTCATCATTGTTGGATATAAGTCCGAGCACTGTAGTGTCATCTGCAAACTTAACAATGAGATTGGACGCGCAGGAGGAAATACAGTCATGGGTGAAGAGAGTGTATAGCAGAGGGCTCAGAACACACCCCTGAGGGGCACCGGTGTTGACCACAAGGGTGGAAGAGGTGTTCTTACCCACTCTGACACTCTGTCTACGGTTAGTGAGGAAGTCCACAATCCAGTTGCACAGAGAGGAGTTAAGTCCCAGTTGGTGGAGTTTGGGACGGAGTTTGTATGGCCGGATGGTATTAAAAGCCGAGCTGTAGTCTACAAAGAGGAGCCGTGCATAGGTGTTCCTGTGTTCCAAGTGCTTCAGTAATGTGTGCAGCACTGTGGCGATCGCATCCTCGGTTGACCGGTTCTCCCTGTATGCAAACTGGTGCGAGTCCAGGGATGGTGGAAGAGCAGCTCTGATGTGTTTAATGACCAGTCTCTCCAGGCATTTGGCGGGAATGGGGGTGAGTGCCACAGGTCTGAAATCGTTCAGACATGTGACATTTGACTGTTTTGGGATGGGAACGATGGTTGCTGCTTTGAAACAGGATGGTACCAGTGAACAGGACAACGAGGTGTTATATATAGAGGTGAAGACGTCCGCCAAGTCCGCAGCACAGTCTTTTAGCACCCGGCCCAGCACTCCATCTGGCCCGGCCGCCTTCCTGGTGTTAATGCTCCGGAACACACGCCTCAGCTCATGAGTGCTCAGGACTGGAGCAGGATCGGTTGAGGGGAGAGGGGACAGGACAGGGTCGGTGTTCTCCCTATCAAAACGGGCATAAAAGAGATTTAGATCCTCAGCCAGAGTAGAACTGTCGGCTGAGGGTGATGGTGTTCTTCTTTTGTAGTCCGTGATAGCCCTGATGCCCTCCCAGACCTGCCTTGGGTTTGTGTTGTTCTCAAACCTGGCCTCGATACGCCTCCTGTGCTGCTGCTTGGCAGTCTTGATGCCTCTTCTCAGGTTGGCCCTGGCAGCACTGTATGCCTCCTGGTCCCCGGATTTGAAAGCGTTGTTCCTTGTTCGAATAAGTTGTTGAACTCCGTGTGTCATCCAGGGTGGATTATTAGGGAACACACGGAATCGTTTCCAAGTTGTTACATTGTCCACACAGAAACAGATGTAGTCCAAGACAGTGGAGGTGTAACTGTCCAATGCGACACGATTGTCAGTGTCCTGCACCTTGAATACATCCCAGTCTGTGCAGTGGAAACAGTCCTGAAGCATCGGAATAGCATCCTGCGGCCATGTTCTCACGGTTTTGGTTGTAATCCCAGTGCTCTTGATCTTTTGTGTGTATATTGGGTGTAGCAGAAGGGAGAGATGGTCTGACAGACCCAGGTGGGGATAAGCCTGGGCTCTGTACGCATTTGCCATGTTGGTGTACACCTGGTCCAACGTTCTATCTCCTCTGGTAGCACACTTCACATTACGGTGGAAATTGTGAAGTACAGATTTCAGGTCCGCGTGGTTAAAATCCCCAGCCGCAATAAAGACACTGTCCGGGTGTGCTACCAGGCTGTTATTGATGCTGCTGCTCAATTGTGCTAACGCTAGCTTAGCATTAGCGTCTGGTGGAATGTAAACAGCGCAGATGTAAACGGCAGAAAATTCCCGAGGGAGATAGAATGGACGGCACTTTAACACCAACAGTTCTACCTCTGTACTGCACAGTCTTTCCGTTACCGTGACGTTCGTGCACCAAAAGTTGTTAATATAGATGCACAGCCCCTCGCCAGTCTTCTTACCCGAGTCCGCAGACCTGTCGGCTCGATAGGCGGTGCGGCCTGCTAGATCAATAGCCGCATCGGGAATGGCGCTGTCCAGCCAGGTTTCAGTGAAGATCATGCACGAACAGTTATTAAAAGTCCGTCGAGTGGCGATCTGCAGTCGTATTTCATCCAGTTTGTAACGGATTGAACGGGCGTTGGAGAGGAATATGATCGGGAGTGGTGGTTTAAACGGACTAGTCTTTAGCCGTGCCCACAGGCCTCCCCGCCTGCCTCTCTTCTGCCTCCGCTCGCAACGTCTCCTCCTGCGGCTTGCTGTTGCGGGTAGCCCCGGGGGTTGCTTAACGATCTCCGGGGGGATGAGATACTCGGATGTTAGTTGAAGATCTCCACGGCTTCGTTGTAGTAGATCATCTCTGTTGTATTGAAGTAACCCCAGACTGTGTGAAATAATACACAGTACCACCAAAAGTGCAAAAGTGTAGGAGCTCCGGGCCGCTGCGTCTGTGCGCGCCGCCATCTTAATAAATTAATTAAGGCAACAAAACAACCTGAAGAGCTGGTTCAGAGCCAAAAGAGCCGGAATCCCATCACTAGTCAGCACACTCTCAATGGAGCAAGACTACAGTCAGCAGGTGGGTTTTTCTGAGGATTCTCAGGAAATGGAGATGCGGTTGGGCCGTTGGTGTTAAGGTCCACGTGGTTGTCTGCACACCAATCCGACAGCCTCTGAACCTCAGCTCTGTATGCTGTCTATTTGCCCCCAGAGATGAGCCCCACCACAATAGTATCATCTGCCAACTTAATGACTGCATTGTCTGGGTGGGTACTGACACAGTTATATGTATGCAGAGTGTACAGTAGGGGACTTAGTACACAGCCTTGTGGAGAACCGGTGTAAAGTGCTCAGGAAATAAGGGGACTTACTCTAACTCTATGTCGATGGCCCAAGAGAAAGTCTCTGATACAGCAGCAGGTGGTAAAAGGAAGTCTAATATCCAACAGTTTTGCTGTCAGTCTGTCTGAGAGTATCATATTAAAAGAAGAGCTAAAGCCAACAAACAGCAGTCTGGCATAACGCCCTTGTTGTTCCAGGTGGGAGAGGGTGGTGTGGAGGGTTGTAACAATGGTGTCTTCATTTGATCTCTTACCTCTGTTTGCGAACTGAAGTGGGTGAAGTGTGGTTTGCAAGCAGGACATACTGTGGCACCGGACCATGTTCTAAAACACGTTATTATAACAGGTCATAGAGCAAGTTAATCGGTAGTCTTTGAGGCTGCTAATGTTGGTTTGTTTAGGCAGTGGGACGAATGTGGCTGACTTCAGGCATGGAGGGATGCAGGACTGGGACAGCGAAGTGTTAAAGATCTTCGTGAAGAACCCAGCCACCTGATCTGTGCACTCTTTTAAAAAGAGCTTAAATATATTTAAGAAGCTTAATTCTGTCAACATATTTGCTGAATTCTGTTTTGTGCATTGAAAATAATCAAAAGATACTTTGGAAAACTGTGGTTACTTAGTTAGTTTGGCATTAATTAGTTACTAACTACCCTTTAACCAACAAAACAAATCAGATTACTAACCTTTCTTAATCAGGCATTTCTTTTTTTACCTGCCATTTAAACAGTCTTTGTCTTCTGTTACAACATTGTCATTCAATTCTTTCAGTTAAAACGAAGGAAAACAGCGTGTTTGAAGAAATGAACATGAAAAATAAAGAAACTAAACGAACTTCTGACACAAATGGTGAGTTATACAAAGCAAATGCAAAACCACTACTTTTACTACAAGGCATCATGCAAAGTACTAAACAGCCTGTCTTACAAACTGGAAGGGTAGAAAATTTGGTGCCTCATAATCTGCAAATGACAGTGACCTCAACAGAAAAACAATAGCAGCAGTCACTTTAACTAACAAACTAGACTTGACATCCACCAAATTATTCACATTGACTACCTTTTTTTTTCTTGCCATGAAATCATTCTTTGTCTTCTGCTACAAGGTTACCCTTTAAGTCTTTCAGTACGAAGGCAGGAAGAAAATTTATATGAAGAAATGAACGTGAAAAACAAAGGAACTAAACAACCATCTGACACAAATGGTGAGTTATACAAAGACAATACAAAACTGCTACTTTTACGACAGGAACTGATATGAAACTTGCTTAGAAACTGGAAGTGTGCTGTTGGCATTTTCCTTACAAGAGCTTAATGACAACATCCTCTCAAATCACATTTTGATATGTACAGGATTCACTGTTATTGAAGTTTGATCCATAATATGGGCTTCACCTTGGTTTTGTCTCTGAACTTTTTCAAACAGATTTTTCTGTTTTTCCCTAGACAATAACAAAAAAGTTCATTAATTAGAATGGTTTTATGATTATAAAAAGCCAATTGATGATTTTAAGTTGACACAAGCAATTTAGAATCTTAAAAGTAAGAATTAGTTTGATTGCTATAATAAGTATTTATTTCTCCTAGATAAGCAGTGTGCATGTATAAAATCTTGTACATCAGTAACCATTTGCTGGGGTATTCTGTTACTGATCATGGCCCTTCGCATCTATTGTGAGTATAACTTTTAAAATTAGTTCATCTGCAATGTGTGTGTAAAGCCAAAGAAGTGTTACGTTTTGTTTTTCAGTTACCACATTGTTAATTCATAAGAACAAAGACTTATTGAGGAGTCAACTCAACTGGACAAACACCTCCACTGCCTTTGAAACACAGATCAGAGACCTCATTGCAGAAAACCAGAACCTAACAGAACAAATAAAACTCATGAAGATGGAGCTCAGTCTTGGTCCAGGTCAGTGCAGTGTTGATGCCTACTGTCCCAAAGAAAATAACAGTAGGCTCCAAATCTATCAGCTACAAAAATAGGTCATGTCAAATAAATGTGCACTGATGATCTTTATTAATTGATTTTTACTTTTTTCTTTTTTTTCTTTTTTCTTTTTTACTTTTTTTACATGCAGAAAAGGTTTGCAACACTTGTCAGGAGGGCTGGCTTCCCTTTGAGTCAAACTGCTATGCAATTAATGATGCTGAACCTCATGAGCAGAAAACCTGGAAAGAAGCTCGAGAAAACTGCAAAGGAAAGATTTCCGATTTGGCTGTTGTAATTAATGCAGCAGAAAAGGTAATAAGAACTGTGGCTCATTAGCACAAATGTATTTAACAAAAATACATTTTCTTTTGATCTAAATACACTCTGTGTCGCAGTGTTTTAAGCAAAGTATTTGAGTATTTCTGATAACTTTCTCTTTCATCAGAAATATATCAGTGACAAAAGCTGGAAGAGTTCAGGAGAAAATGGATACTGGATCGGTCTGAGAGCTGAAGGTGGGAAATGGACATGGGTGGATGGAAGTTATCTGACTGATAAGTAAGAGAAACTTTGAATCAATAACAATTTAAAAATATTTTTCCAAATCTGGGATGAATCAATTTTGTTTTATACTAATAATTATCAGCTTTAATCAAACTTGTTTTTTTCTTCAGCTCCTGGATTCAGCAGCCTCCTTCTGATGGTCTCTGTGTAATTTCTGTCCAAAACGAAGGATTTAAATCAGTGAACTGTGACCAGAAGAAACAATGGATTTGTAAAAAGAGACCCTAACTGTTTGAATTACCGCAGATAGACTTCAGAAGACTTTTGTAATCTGTAAATATAATTGCATATTTGCAAATAGCTCACTTGGCAATCCGGTGGAAAGTCGACTCCCTTCGTTATTCCCTTCTGGGCCGCCCTCTCACCCTCTTTTCACTAGAGGTCTACTATCTATGAGCAACTGGTTCTGGGCTGTTTTGATAACATGACGAAAGCATGCTAAGAGGGCCTTGTGACTGATCAGCAGATATCATGAGCTGACAAGGGCAGGAAATATGTCTTTTAAACCAATACTTTACATTGACTGGCATACATGCATTACAGTGATACATGCATGGTTTTACTACTGACTTCAGTCATCATGATAATTCATATTTCAGTCTGCAAACAGATTCATCTTTAGAAAAATGCTTTTTGCCATTGTGGTTTACAAAAGATTTACAATTGTTTTAAAACATCAATTGTTTCAGAGGCTGGATCAGAGGCTAATTTTTCCCACGGAGATCATAACAACTGCTCGGCAACCAGACCTCGTCCTTTGGTCTAACTCCCAAAAACATGCGTACGTCATTGAACTGACGGTACCACGGGAGGGAGCAATTCAGGAAGCATTTGAACGTAAGAAGCTGTGGTATGCCAACTTGGCAGCTGAGGCAGAGGACAGAGGCTGGAAGATCAAGGTGCGCCTGGTGGAAGTGGGGTGCAGGGCTTTGTTGCCAGTACAACAGCAAAACTGCTTAGAGAGATTGGGTTCAGAGGACAGGCACAACGGCAGGCTATAAGAGAATTAGCTAAAACTGCTGAGAGGACCAGTCACTGGCTATGGCAAAAAGGGCTGACATCACTTGGGCAGCTAAGGCAGTCAGCTAACCGCTCTTCTCCCCTCTGCTCTTCTTCCCTTTTTCTGGGAGGCAGTGGGGAGGTAGAGCGTACAGCCCGATCCAGCGGGGAGGTGTAGGCAGCCAGATCGGGCGCCCCCCTTCTGGCTCTCCTCTCTGCTCTTTCCTGTCTTGTCCCTTTTGTCTTACTTCTCTCTATCACCTTTTCTATCCATTTAAAGAAGTGAGGCTCTGTCAGGGTTATATTTTGTGATTGTCATTTGTACTTAGAAATATATAATCATTTATGCTTAGAGGTATAAAATCGCTTGCATATTGATAAAATGTCTCATCCTTAGTAGGTCTTTAAGACTCTGTGTACCATGAGATGAGAGTACGTTCACTCCTTTTCCAGAGTTTTCTGGCATAGCACACACATCCTAAGGTCACGACAGAGGTCGTATCTTCTCTTTCTCGTATATGGTATGGCAAACACAACTGTATCTGTTTACCTATAAGAGCCTTTTGTTTAGGTGAACTGCTGGACTCCCTGGCCCAGCTATCTGGGGAGTCATTCACAGGGTCACATTTTGACACACGCACACACACACACACACACACATACATACACACACCCATGTACACACATACACCCACATACCTACAAATACACACAGACTGGTACTATTTGTTTACACACATGCCTGTTTAAGATGTCATATGTTAATGAAACTGCATATTCATGTAACCACAATAAAGAGTGGTGCTACGGAGGTGCTGACCGAGAGTGACGGGGTTCAAGCGGCAGGAACAGCGCTCGGTCTCGGTGACCTCCCTCGTGCACGAGATCAGACAAAGAGCTCTGGTGTCTTGTGTGTTGTTTTTGCCACTGCAGTAGGTTGTCTCAGTTCTTCCAGCAATAGGTTTGTGCCTAGATAAACCTAACAGGCTCTATAAAGGCTAAAGAGAGATAAGTATTATTTCTCAGTTGAAGTGAATCAATAGAAGAAAATAAACAGTAGAAAACTAAACAGAAGAATGAAGAAGAGAATAACAATTCAACATAAACCATTGACACACACTGGGGCCTGATCAACCCTGGCAGGGCCTCCTTGGATGAGGGTGTCTAGTGATAATGGCTGAAACACCTGATGAATCCAAGGTCCACTACTGGCGATGTGTCCCAAATTTTAATATGATAATGTAGATCAGATCTCTAATCCCTAAACCTAACAGCGTTGCATAAATTATAAGTCACGCCTCTGCTAGTTTCTGTTTCTAATAGAAATAAAGATTATTGTTAAAGGTTCAGTGTGTGGCAGGAATTGGACTTAAACATACAGGAAAAGGGAAAAAAGGAACAAACTGAAAAAGCAGTTTTATTGATGAACACAAACCAAGTACAAAATAATGAAGGTCAAACACAGATACCAAAAACTGTCACTCTATCAAGAACCCCATCAAAGTTGGAGGAATACAGAATGCACACAGCAAAAGGGAAACATGACAAGTTACGACTGAGATAATATTTACACCGAGATGATAATGAGGCAAAAGGCAAAGGGTAGGGGGACAGCTGGCACTAATCACAGATAATGGGACAGGAAGTAGAACCAAAACCAAAGACATACGAACTTGACACAGTGACAGATGATAGCAAACACCGAGATAAAAGTGGATTGACAGGTAATTCACTTATCAACTATGCAATCAGGGAACTAAAGGCACAGATCACAAAACCAATCATAAGTCCCAGGAACCAAAACATAACACCCAAACCTGAAGTCTAAATAATAGAGAATATAGAACCAAACATACAAGATCCGGGTGGTTAGCACTGTTGCCTCACAGCAAGAAGGTCCTGAATTCGAGACAAATTTCTTTAATATCAAAGAATGCTGTCAATGTGATTTTAAAGAAATTCAGAGTGTTCTGTCATTGTGCTGTTTATTATTGCTGGCACCAGAAAACCGCCGCTGAATAAATCCTGGATTTTTATACACTTCAAATTCTGCAAATAAGTGTCCTCACCAGAAAAACTATAGCATCAGTTATTTAGTATCTTTAAACCACCATAATAGATTTGATTTATTAACTTTTCATTAACCAGGCTGGTTTTTTTTTTCTTGGCCTGAAAAAACTATGTGTCTTCTGTTGGAAGGATGTAAACACGTGTATTTTATATGGTTGCACATAAAAGAAATATGTAATGGTGATTTAAATACAATAATTTAATCATTGCATTTCATATAAACTCACACAGCTCTTAAGAGTATGAATACAGTTACTGAAATATGTTTTTGTTTTTTTTTTGCTAGATAAGAAGACTAGATGTGTTAAATCGTGTCCATCAGTAGTAATGTGCCGGGGAATTCTTTTACTAATCATGGTCATTCTACTATTCTTTGAATATAGTTTAAAAATTACTCTTTCATCTGTGTGTAAAGTAAAAGTAAAATGTGACTTTTTGTTTGTTTTAATGTTTTGTTTTGGGGTTTTGGGGGGTTTGAAGTTGTTTGTATTAGTTCATAATAATGAACTTTTAATGAAAACTAATCTCAACTTAGCACAAGCTTATTAGAAAAGCTCATGAAACCCAACTGAAGAAAACCAGAACCGTAGGAAGAAAAATAAGGAACTGGAGACAGAGAAGAAACATAACAGAAGAAATACAAAACATGATGACATAATGAGTTCAGTGTTAGTCGATCATAGTGGAGCATTGATGCCTGCTGTCCCAAAGAAATAGCATGTTTGAAATCAATTAGCTACAAAAAGACTTAATACAGTGGAGTATGTGTGAAAAATAGAGATATTATTTATGTTTAGGAAAGTTCACAATTAATGATTATAGGAGAAGTTTTACTGTACACAGAATATGACTGCTGACAGCATTTAGAACAAGACAGAAAAGGATCTAAATTGGCACTGGTTGTTTTTAATTTGTGTCACTAACGGGGTTTTCTTCAGTGCAGTGCAGTTTGTATACTGAGTTTCTGCTCCCTGTATTGATGCTGGGCGGTGCGTTACTTCACATCAAAGAATACTGTAGTCTGAAGTATCAGTATTTTGGTATTTTTGTGTTGTTATATATCTATATCTGACCATAGTCTTAGCTTTAGTGGGTTATATTAAATTAAATTATTGCCACGACATTGTGGAATTTTAATTTTTGATTAAAAAAGTTTTTAATCAAGCCAATAACAACACTGTTCAAGCTGCACATATTTAATTAAGATGGGGAAGAAGAAGAGCTGTCCTCTATATCTGTCACACTGTTCACATCAACCACAGAGAAACACAGGAAGTTCAATTTATTAGTATAGTCTCATGTTGTGCATGTTGTGTTGGTCAAATCAAGTTCACCATTTTTTGTTTTGATCGTTTGTTTGTTTGTGTTTAATTTGTGTGCATGGTACTAGCATCACTAAGTCTCTGGAGTGTGTGTGTGTGTGTGTGTGTGTGTGTGTGTGTGTGTGTGTGTGTGTGTGTGTGTCTGTGTTATGTTTCCTGTTTTACTTTGAAAGTCCGCGTCTCATGTAAATGAGTCTGGTTTTGCTTCCTTTGTCTCGTTAGGCCTGATTTGCCGCAGCTGTGTTTCCCTCCTGTTACCTATTCCCTGATTGTTCCCTTTGTGTATTTAAGGCCATTGTTTCTCTGTGTCCGTGTTGCGATCTACCCTTATCTAGCTGTGTGGTTGGTCTGTGTAAGTGTATTCTGGAGTCCTAGTTTTATTACCCTTTTGAGTTCAGCATTAAAGCTGTGTTTTGAGTTACTTTCTGTCTCCGGAGTCTGCCCTTTGGATCCTTCTCCTGCCTACACACAGCTGTTTCGTAACAGAAGATCGCGACCAGAACATGGACCCCGCAGACTGTTCCACCTCGGATTTTGAGGCTGAGATGAAGGGGTTGGTTGATTTGCTGGACCGCATCGCTCAGGCCGGGGGGATGGGGGTTATGGGGGGATGGAAGAGATCTGACTGATAAGTAAGAGAAACTTTGAAACAATAAAGATTTAAAATATTTTTCCAAATCTGGGATAAATCAATTTTGGTTTATGTCAATAATTATGAGCTCTAATCAAACTTGTTTTTTCCTCAGCTCCTGGATTCAGCAGCCTCCTCCCTAAATCAGTGAGCTGTGACAAGAAAAACCAATGGATTTGTAAAAAGAGACCCTAATTGTTTGAATTACTTAGACTTCAGAAGACTTTTGTGATCTGTAAATATTACCATGGAAACTTCTACTCAGGTTTTGTTTTTAAATATTACTAAATAAATAAAGTTAATTATAAGGGTTTTTTTTTTTATTGTCAAGCTGTTATTATTTATAAGTTACTAATAATTAATATAAAAACAACACCCAGCTCGCCCCTGCAGGCGGTTCATCCTTCACCTCTACCAGAGGCCTGGGAGCTTGAGGGTCCTGCGCAGTATCTTAGCTGTTTCCAGGACTGCGCTCCTCTGGACAGAATCTGGGATCTGCTGGAGCCACTCGCCTAGCTTGGGAGTCACCGCACC